TTGTTGATAAATATATACCGGGAAGACAGTGTCAAGTTGCCTTAAAAATAATGATGACTGATATTTTATAGGTAAAATTATATTGTGAATGTTACCGACCATTCCCAAGGTACTTTGCGCTCTTTTTATTTCGATTGTACATGTTCAAAGAATATCAATGAATCTATGAAAGAAATTGACGATATATGAGACCATTCTTCAAAAATTATGTATAAATGTATCGATCTATTTTTAAATTTTACCATCACTATAGGAAGATCTTTTAACATATGTCTTGCCGAGTCTAGCCGAACACCGCGTTCGGGTCATGATAGTTTCCGAATAACCAATCAATAAATTTCGAGAAATTTTTTGATTAGTTGGGATGAAGATATCAGTATCAGAAAAATTATATTATACATCCTAAAAATATTACAAGAATAATGATTCCGTAGCAAGAAATTCCATATTACAGAAATACAGAATTCCACCGCTGCCGCTGGTTTCTGCTTGAATTGTATCGCAGTGACATTTTAGAAAAGAGAATATTTTTATTCTGATTTTTTTTGCGAAATACTAGCACATTTTTCTAGAGAACTTTTAGATCATTAACACCCGTTTCTTTTCCTTGCAATAAACTCTGGCCGTCAATTTTAGAGAAAACCACTGACGAACGACGACTAATCGAAATAATCGAAATAAAGAAATTGCAACAACATGACGCTTGGACGCTTGCAGCGAAGCGCGCGGGGGCGTGCGGTATACAGAGTTAACTCTGGCTGTGTATAAGACCAAAACTAATTATCGGAAAATGGAGTTGGAAATGCGGCTTAGCACTATATTGGTTTTCGCAGTCGGTAATGAGGAACCGATGTAAAGTTCGGTTTTGTTGTTATCGATTTTCGAATTAGCGAAACGGAAGGAGGAGAGATATGGTTGCGTGTGTGGGTGTGAGGCAGAACGCGGTATTCGCTTTGGATTTATTGCCAACTGAACGTTGGTTGGTGTCGCCGATCCAATCAATTTTCAAAAAGAAATTTAACGCTGCTGCCCGTATCCCTATGGCCAATTTGCATATTAGATCATTTTACAAATCAGCTTTGTCTGGGCTATTTCGAACAGGACGGTTTCATTTTCCTGTGAAAGCTTGTGAAAAAATATGGTATTTGCTATTGGCATTTAAGTAACTTGATATTATTAAGCCGAGTATACATCTGGAAAACGTTACCACTTCGTTAGTAGACACTCTCTCGCATGCCTTCGCTTCTAAAGAATACTCTATCTTAGTTCTGTTTTCAGTCGACAGAGTGAATTGGTTGTCGGAACAGTGTTGCCAGAACTGCTGATTAATCCGTAGATTTGCGGATTTTGTGTACAGTACGTTAGTAATAAGGATTTTTTATCATTAAACAATTTAATATAATATTATGTGATAAAACAAAGAACGGCGTCAGAGTTGGCTTGGAAATGAAGATCACTGTTATTTCATAAATGTAAAATATGATGGTAAATGTCAATAATTGTCATTTCCAAGCCAATTAAACGACTTTTTTCGATCATACGAAATATTCTAGGTATTGAAAGAATTTTTATTTTTGTTGTTTATTTTATTTCTAACACGAATAAATTTTCACTACATAAACGCGGATTTTTGATCCAAAGATATGTTTGTAAAACGTATTACAATATGTAATACGTAAATATACGTGTAATATAATTACACATTTTAATATGGCAACACTGTCGCTTTCAGTTCCACACCGTCTTCGATATGTCTTCACTAGCCGAATTGGAAAAAATGAGTGTTTTATGCGTTAGCCGCAGAACGAGTAGAGGCTTCACTGTACAGCACTTGAGACGTAAGGGGAAATTAGCTTTGTCACGAATACGCTTATTAGGTTGAGTATCTTCCCAATTCTTTCAATCAACGACTATATCATTTATAAATCAGCTTTATCTGCATTATTTCGAATATGTTTTTATTTTATCATTTTTCGAAATAGATTTATCAGTTTTTTTTTAAATAATTAGATCGTAATAAATGTACTAATAGAAAAGGTTTATCAAAAAACGCCCACCTCTCTGTTTTTAATCACAAATGCAGTTTCCAAACTGTATCGACATCCGAATATCCAATTTCGAAATGATTAGAACGATTTCAACTTTTTTCTCATAACCTATTATTTGCAAATTGACTATAGAGGGTGTATAGTCGGGATACAGTCGGGAGAATACTCTCAATTTCTTAATTTTTTGCCCAAATTTAAAAATACTAAATTACTGTATAAGCTGGTTTTATGATTATTTTATCCATTTTAATAACTTTTGACGTATAATTTCTAATTAATACAAAAATATAAGAAAAGGAAGGAAAATTTATTAAAAAGAGTGTCAGTCGGTTTGTTTTAAGCAAAACTTTTCCAACCAGCATCGACATACACATATCCAATTTAGGAATGGCCAGCACGACGTCAACTTTTTTACGTTCTTTTTGCAACTCGTACATGGCTCGACGTGCTACTTGAATTTTAAACGCTTAAAATAATGGAAATATCCATCGGAATGGAAAGCACTTGCCTTAAATATCGAACGAATGTAACGCCGGAAAATTTATCCCTGTTTCCGCATCGACTTTGGGAAGATCGGATGTTTGTAGAAGCATTGTGGCGAATTTCAGTTTATCGACTCTGGGATGCCCAATATTTTTTTTATTTCTGCATTTCGATCGATTAAGTACAAATTTGCGGTGTTTGTACTGGAAGATTGCTATTATAAAGTAATTTTTAACGAATATTGTCCGACACAAGAGATAGATTACTGCACATTTTAGTTGAAACTTCAAGGTAATGACTTTTTGTTCACATCAACAGATATTTGAATTAATGGAAACATATTTATCGGAGTAGCTAACATTTTTTTAACAGAAACATCTTGCATAAGACTTTTCCCATTCCCATTTATACAGAAATATAATTAAAATAGACAGCATTTATTAAAAAGAGTGTCAATCCGCTTATTTTTAATCAAACGTGGCGTCGCGTCGCGTCGTTTCCAAGCGGTATCGACATACGAATATCCAATTTCGGAATGGCCAGAACGACGTCAACTTTTTTACGTTCTTTTTGCAACTCGTACATGGCTCGATGTGCTACTTGAATTTTAAACGCTTAAAATAATGGAAATATCCATCGGAATGGAAAGCACTTGCCTTAAATATCGAACGAATGTAACGCCGGGAAATTTATCCCTGTTTCCGCATCAACTCTGGGAAGATCGGATGTTTGTAGACGCATTGTGGCGAATTTCAGTTTATGGACTCTGGAATGCCAATATTTTTTTATTTCTGCATTTCGATGGATTAAGTAGAAATTTGCGGTGTTTGTACTGGAAGATTTCTATTAAAAAGTATTTTTTTAAGAAGATTGTCCAACACATGAGATAGATTACTGCACATTTTAGTTGAAACTTTAAGGTAACGACTTTTTGTTCACATCAACAGATATTTGAATTAATGGAAACATATTTATCGGAGTAGCTAACATTTTTTTAACAGAAACATCTTGCATAAGTCTTTTCCCATTCCCATTTATGCAGAAATATAATAAAAATAGACAGCATTTATTAAAAAGAGTGTCAATCCGCTTATTTTTAATCAAACGTGGCGTCGCGTCGCGTCGTTTCCAAGCGGTATCGACATACGAATATCCAATTTCGGAATGGCCAGCACGACGTCAACTTTTTTACGTTCTTTTTGCAACTCGTACATGGCTCGACGTGCTACTTGAATTTTAAACGCTTAAAATAATGGAAATATCCATCGGAATGGAAAGCACTTGCCTTAAATATCGAACAAATGTATCGACGGGAAATTTATTCCTGTTTCCGCATCGACTCTTGGAAGATCAGGTGTTTGTAGAAGCATTGTGGCGAATTTCAGTTTAAATCGACTCTGGGATGCTGATGTTTTTCCAATTTCTACTTTTTGAGTCGTACTAAGATTTAGAAATTTGTAATTTTTGTACTAAAAGAATACTATTAGAAACGAGTTTTCATAAAAGTTATCCTACACAAGGGCGAGATTATCGTAGATTTCAGCTAGTAAGTTTAAGTTAATAACTACTTTTTAACAGCAGATTATTAAATTAATGAAAACATACATTGCTTAGCGACATTATTTGAATACATTAGCTGCTCTGTAACTAGTTCCATAACAGCTTATTCCATTTTACCATTCTTTTTTACTGTAAATTTTTTCCCATCTATGCAGAAATAAAGTACAGATAAAGTTTATTAAAAAGAGTGTCGGTTCGCCTGTTTGAAACCAGAAGCTGTTTCCAAGCGTTATCGATATCCTAATATCCAATTTCGGAGCGGCCAGAACGACGTCAGCTTTTTTTGCCAACTCGTACATGGCTCGACATGCTACTCGAATTTTAGACGCTTAAAATAATGGAAATATCCATCGGAATGGAAAGTACTTGCCTTAAATATCAAACGAATGTAATGTCGGGAAGTTAATCCCGGTTTAAGCGTCGATCGGATGTTTGTAGAAACATTGTGGCGAATTTCAGTTTAAATCGAATCTGGGATGCCACTGTTTTCTTTCTATTTCTGCTTTTCGACCGACACGAAGAAATAAATAGCAATTTGCGATGTTTGTACTAGAGAAACGCTATTAAAACGTAATCTTTCACAAGTATTGTCCCGACAAAAGAGATAGATTCTAGCTGATCACTTCAAATTCATGACTATTTTTTATTTCAACAGGTTACTGAATTAATTAAAACATATTGAAGATTTTTGAAGAAATGTTTTTCATAAATATATACACAATCTATACAATTTAACCACCCTGTTATTATTAAAATTGACATAATTTTTCATAAATTAATGGGTACTTATTCTAGAAAAAAGTAAAATGCTTTCAAGAGTGAATGGAGTGGCGGCTCTGGAAACTCTCATTTTACTTTTCTATAGCTATAATAAAGATTCTAATCTCAAATATTCTTTTGTTTGTTCAGCCTTCTGGACCGGGACCAGCCCAATGGCAGGCCACAATGGCGCTTCACTGTGTTTGCTCAGGATGAAGGTGGAGAAGGGCTGGTGGGATACGCGGACGTACAGGTGAACCTGAAGGACATCAACGATAACGCTCCTATCTTCCCCCAGGGAGTGTATTTTGGAAACGTAACTGAAAATGGTACGGCCGGAATGGTCGTTATGACGATGACTGCGGTGGATTATGACGATCCCTCCGAAGGTAAGATCGATATTTTGATATACTATAATATACTGTCTAAAACTAAAAGTTCTATCTAAATTAAAATCAGGTGTTTTGCTGAGTATTTTTGTGTTAAGGTAAGCTGCTTTTGAGTGAAACATAAGGGGCTATAAACAAATTGTCAAAATAAACTTACTTTGAATTACTATTAACGTTTTTCATAGAACTATACCTGCAACTTCACTTGATACAAAGCTTGATTCAGGTAATTTCGAAAACTAAATAACTGTCTTCAAATTGCATTAGGTAGATAATTAAACTAACAAGGAAATAACAAATTTACAGTTGTTGAGTAATTCATTTCAAGTGTAACAGGAAATTTAGTTAGTAATTACTATATCTGTCTTTTATCATTAGAGTTTACAAAGCGCTGTTATATGAAAGAGCAGGCGTTTTTGAAGTTGCTACTTCTGTGAACTTTAACAATGCTCTAATTTGACCTCAATCTGAAGTTAGGTGCCGTAATTTGGTCTTCAATAGCTAGAGTAAAGTAAACTTAGGGACTATTGAAAGAAGTGTAAAAGAAAAAATCTAAAATTATTTTAAATCAAGATTACAGTCTATTTTAGTCTTTATTTTTAAAATGTCTGCCAGTTTTTCAAAATAGATACTTTTATTTACTAAATTAATAAAGTTTATATCGTAGAGAAATGATATTTTCTCTCTTTAGTGTTTTTTGCTTCCTTACTTGTAAATGTTTAATCTACTACCTCTGTTGTCAAATTATCAAAAATTATGTTTTTTAACTAAAAATAAAATATTTCAAAAAATTTTAGGACAAATCCCAAATTTTATTTTTTTGCCAAAAACCTTATAGACGTGTTTCTGTTGTCGAAATACACTAACCTTAAAAAATATTTCCAAGTATTTATTCACCTATATATAATGCATTAAAAATATTAAATAATAGACACAAAACATAAATCAAATACTCTCCTATTTTTTCGATTCTTAAACTTACAAATTGTCGGTTAAAAAGTCGTTTGTTTTAAAAATTTTTCTAAACCCGACCTAACCTTTCCGAAAATTGAAAACGTTCACCCCGCTGCACCGACAAATATAGTTCTTAATAAAAATGTCAGAACGCAAGCAAATTCGCGCACACTACCCACTCGCGAAATTTACCGTAAATTTGCAATTCAATACTGCAAAAGCAGCACGAAAACTTTTATACGCGGGATATTGGAAGGCATTTTATTACGAATTGCGAATCTATTGACTGTGCCAAAAGGTGCATGCAAAATCGAAAAAAGGTGATTTTTGCGAATTTGCGTTTAGCAGATGGTGCGGAAAATTAACTAGGAATAAGATTTAAGAGGATGCCTTTACAATCTCATGCGCGTTTTATATTTATCCGTAATTTTGATGTTACGATAAATCCATTTCTTTATAAAATAAATCCATATGTAAGCCATAGTTCTGCGAAGGAAGATCTTTTTATGAGAAAAGTGACTAAATTTAGCGCTTCTGTGTCACGGCCGTTCGCTATTTAGAAACGGCCTTGAGTTTTTACTTTCAGCTCGCGCAAAGTAGTTTCACTTCACTGAGAAATAATTATCGATTTTTGAAGTGAAACTTTTTTACGCGCGTTGGGAGTAAAAATTCAAGGCTGTGGCACGCGGCCTTAAATGACGACCGCGAGACGACCGTGACGACCGCGAGACGCATGCGAGACGGCCGTGACGCGCGAGCTATTGAAAGGAAAAGCGAGCTATTGAAAGGAAAAGGATCAGACTTTGTAAAAACAATTTAACCCTCGTTATCTCATGATAATATATCCTGATGAAAAATAAGCTTGTGGCAACACTGGGTAACGATCTGAGCCATATGTGGCTAAAAAGCACTAAATAAACTTGAAAGTGTACCAACCTTGGATTTCATGCATATTTTCATTGATAGGTTTGTAGCTTCTGAATAACGGTCTAGGTAAAGCACCTAGCTTATGTATTTGTCAGCTCAGAATTAGAATTTAGAGTTAGTAACTAATTTTCATTGGAGGTCACTGTCATATTTATTTCAAACCAATAATCAACGAGAATATTCGTATAATTTAATAAAATTACTGGAAATCTACTATGTTTAATGAATTGTTTTTAATTGAGCTGCAATTTCTGGTATTATTAATCCGGTAAATGATGGAGATAAAAAAAATAAAAAAAAAAAAAAATTTTATTTTAAGATGAAACTTTTGTTAAGAACATTCTGAGAATTTGATTAATGAATTGAATAATGACAAGACAAGTGACATCTGTCTAAAAAAATGAATGAGTGACAATTTGTAAGAAGCTATTAGTAAGAAGTTTCACTTCAATTATGCGCACACAATTTTTTAATTTATGTTAAGCTTGTGATTTTAAGATATACCCTGATGTATTTCTAGAGTACCAAATCCTAAAATTCTTCTTTCTCTTTTTCAGGCAACTTTCAAACTGGTCTACTCCATCGAGAAGAACGTAATAGAGGAAGAGACCGGTTCTCCAATCTTCGAGATCGAGTCGGAAACGGGCGTGATCAAGACGGCCGTGTGTTGTTTGGACCGCGAACGCACCCCCGATTACTCGATACAGGTGGTCGCGATGGACGGTGGGGGGTTAAAGGGCACAGGGACAGCCAGTATAAGAGTGAAGGACATTAACGATATGCCGCCGGCGTTTACGAAAGACGAGTGGTTCACGGAGGTGGACGAGACGGATGGAAGCGCGTTGCCGGAGATGCCGATTTTGACGGTGACGGTGCACGATGAGGATGAGACGAACAAGTTCCAGTACAAGGTGAGGAGACCATCGTTAGATTACATTCTATTAGTTTATATCATGTAATCAAGAGATAAATATAATATGGGATATTTACCATATTGTTTAATTTTTTCTGAATGTGTTACTACGCTACTTCTACTGTTTAGATTAAAAATCAACTTCTGCTTTAGAGCAGTATTGAGTTACTAAGTAAGACAAGACTGTTTGTCTATAACTGTAATATTCGTTACTGATTTGCCGAACTGATTACTGAACTGCCTTAAATCTACTGCCAATCATAGATCCTCTTTTGACTGTTTTCGTCTCCCTCTCTGCTGAGTTTTCTGTAGCCAACTGCTGTGGTAGTTGTGCCCTAGTGTAATCGTCGTATTTTGTTAATCACATCTTTCAAAGTTACTTTAAAATCGGCTGATAATATTTTAGATGGTTAGTGAAACGCGCGTCCAGTGTAAGTAAAATTATTTGCCGAAAACACCATTGAAAAAAAATAATGTTCAAAGAGCCACCCCTATAACTTTTTTATTTTTTTTCAGATAAATAGCGAGATTTAGTGTATTAGTATATGACATAGAATGACATATCATATGTCAACTTTTGACATTTTCGAAAGAAGAAATCGTATTTTAAAATTAAAAAAAAAAACATAACGACAATTTGACTTGAAATACGAAGTGTATGGTACCAAATTACCTGTAAAAAATGCTTTTTCCAAATATGCGAATGAGCCACGCTTTGTTCCGTTTGAAAAATCGCTGATGAAAAATGATTAAAAACACCTGAAAAGCATATTTTAACCGGTCAAGACAATACACAAAAAATACTAGATGATCAAATCTATTTTCCAAGGTTCTTGATAAAAAAATAAGTATTTTTAACACAGGCATGGCGCTCTAAATTGAAGTTTAAAATACTTTTTTTTGTAAAAAAAAAAAAAAAAAAAATGACATATTATGATATGTCATTCTATTTAGAGTGTCATTTTCTACAATAAAGTAAAATATACCGACCGATTTAAAAATCAAAAGTTGTGATCATTTCCGGTTAAACAGGAAGTGACCAAAACAATTGAATACGTCGATCAATTCTAATTTGTCATATACTAACATACCAACCCTCGTTTTTATCTGAAAATAAAAGTTAGGGATGAGCCTATTTCGAGACTCACCTGGTATATTTTCCTGGTAAATATCAACACTTGGAATAAAAATTTTTTTTTTTTTTTTTTTTTTTAATATTTAAAAATACCTTTTCTGGATAGTATACCGTTAGAATACAATATATCGTTTGTTTGTTTATTTCTGCATAAGATTATTTTATTTTAATTTCCCCTTTGGATAAAAAATAGATATCGAAAATATTGTTTGCTTCATAAAATATTCGAAATCATTTTATAATCAACATAAATAAGATACATTGAAGCAGTTGCTCTTTTTGCCGATTATCTCAAGCCGAAAGTTGTTTTGCTGCTCTATATATTTTGGATATAATACATAATACATTCATTCCTTCATTTCAGGTGATCGAAAACAGCGGCTACGGTGCCGATAAATTCACAATGGTGCGTAACAACGACGGCACAGGCTCTCTCAAAATAGTCCAACCGCTGGACTTCGAGGACCTGCTCCAGAGCAACGGGTTCCGATTCCGCATCCAGGTGAATGATAAGGGCGAAGATAACGACAACGATAAGTACCACGTTGCGTACTCATGGGTGGTTGTCAAGCTGAGGGACATCAACGATAACAAGCCCATTTTTGAAAGACCCAACATCGAAGTGAGCGTGCCGGAAAATGCTGAGGTCGGGAAGAGTTTGGAGACGTTCAAGGCGACGGATCCGGACCAAGGAGGCAAGAGCAAGGTAGGAATAATTTATTAACACCCTCTTATTAAAGTATGTACAACCATCGTTGAATATTACGTCACATGATATCTTATGTACTTTTAGTGAAACCGCAATGAAACATATTTTGAAACAGACATCATTGTGGTAGTTTGTAAGTTCGTACAAAGTTTCTGAGAACTCATTTGACTTTTGAGGTTATGGTTCTATTGACGTATATCAGTATCAAAATTAATATACGTTCTAAAACAAAATTCAAATCCTTTTCTGATTAGAAACTATTAAAATATTAGTCATATTAAAATTTGCCAACTATACATTTAATCAGATAAGAATAGTGGCCTTGATATGATTTAGAGCCAGTCAACATCTTGGTCA